GGGGGGGGGGGGGGGGGGGGAGGAAGTGTACTTTTGACTATCACAATATCCCACAGTCCTGCAGTCAACATTTGTGTGCTTCGCAACTGCCTTGCGACAAGCAGAGTCAATGCAGAAGAAGGCAGTAAAATCAGAAGTCAGTCACTTGAGATTTCGTTTTAACAACTGCAGGGAATGGCTTAACAATCATAGTGGAAATCAGTCCATCATGATCACATGATGTTTCACTTAGTGACCAGATATTTAGAGACAAGAGTTGCTGGTCCCAGTTGGGCTGCCAATGGGATCTGCTGGAGAAATCCACCACACTGTTCATTGCACCAGTGTTCAGATTCTGAGAAGCCACTTGAGATCTATAGCAGAAATGCAAGGAATTTGTGAGGTAAATATGCTTAAGCCACCTAAACAGCTTTTGCAATCACTGTGAACAAATTTGAAGACATTTCACAATAAAGGCCTAGTGGAACTGCTAAATCACCTCTAAAACATCTGTTGTACATAACTGAATTATAGCATCCATGTAAAACAGTGTTTCCCAATCTTGGCCATTTTAAGACCTGTGGACTTCAACTCCCAGAATTCCCCAGCCAGTAATGTTGTGGAGTGATTCTGGTTCCTTGTCAATGCTGGCTGGGGAATTCTGGGAGTTGAAGTCCACAGGTCTTAAAATGGCTAAGGTTGGGAAACCCTGATCTAAAGCAAAGGCACATCATATTTATCTGTGAAGAAGGAAACCAGAGCAAGAAGTCTTGCCTTCTGGAGAAGGCTGGAACAGGAGCACACAGCCAAGGAAGACGTTTGGGTATTTTCTTGAGGTGTGGATGAGAAAAGTGAGTGAATAAAGTTGAAGTGCAAATCTTCAACCACTGCTTGTATTTATATATAGGTATGTATGAATAAGCCTATTTTAATGTTATGCTTGTTTCCTTTTAAACTGCTTTATACACCTTTGTTTTTAATAAAACCTGTATCAAAAAATAAAGGCAACTATGTTTGGAAAAGTGATATCTGCACCCAATAACTGTGTTTAGTGTCTCCTGGGTAACTCTTTGTATTAAAAATATCCTCAGAATGATAAGAGTTGGAAGGGACCTTGGAGGTCTTCTAGTCCAACCCCCTGCTAAAGCAGGAGACTCTATACCCCATGGTTGCCTAGTCTCTTTCTTAAGAGCCTCCAATAGTGGAGCGGAGCACTCACAAATCATTCCACTGATTAATTCTTCTGTCAGGAACTTTCTCAGTTCTAGGTTGGGTCTCTCCTTGATTAGTTTCCATCCATTGTTTCTTGTTTTGCCTTCAGGTGCTTTGGAGAATAGCTTGACCCCCTCTTCTATGTGACAGCCTCTCATATATTGGAAGACTGCTATCATGTCACCCCTAGTTCTCCTTTTCACTAGACTGGACAAACCCAATTTCTGCAATCTTTCTTCATGTGTCCATAAATAAGGAATTATGTGGGATCTTTCCTTATAATCCATAATTTTTCTTATTAGGCAACTTTAAGATGTGTGGAATTCAATTCCCAGAATTCTGGGAGTTGAATTCCACACATCTTAAAGTGCCATGTTTTAATCCTTTAGACTGCGTTTAAGTGCTGTTTTAATCCTTTAGACTGCTCCATTTCTAAACAGAGACTGGGCTCATAACGTCATACTGAATCATGCTCTCTGAATCATGGTTGACAGCTGGCTGAATTCACACAATATAACATCAGACTCAAACAATATTGTAGTTTGACAATTATCCAGGATCACTCCACAACAATATTTAAATGATAGTCTACGCTACCACTTAACAGTGATTAAGAGACCAGACTAACAAATACAAGAAAACCACAGCCAGTCACATTTGACTTCCTTTTTTTCGATACTTTGCATTAAAAAGAATTAAAAATCCAATGGCCTGATCAGGAATAGAGTCAGCGGACAAAGAGCCTCACCCAACCGCTTTCTTTCTGTAGTTTCAGAAGAAGAGAAATGGAACGGCCATGATTGCCGCAACCCTGTTTCAAGGCCACACCTTCCCTCCCCCTCCACATTCAGAGCTTTAGCCCAGATTAAAAACCATCCATCCCTTTAATCCATCTTCAGATGATATGCAAACTAGCACCGTGGTAACTAAGCCTACTATAAACCACAGGTAAAATCCGGTTAAGGAATGCTGTAACTACAGTTAAACCTATGGTCTAGATTCACTTATCACCCTGTGTCTAACCATGCCCTGACTTAGCGTGTCCTCTGAATCAGAACAGTAGATGGGAAAATGAATTGGAGATTGCTTCAGAGAAGCTCCCCTTGGCTCTCGCCGCCTGAGAACAGATGCTCAACATTCGAGAAGCTTTTCAGACAGATTTACTGTACCTGCTCACTCGTTCTGAAAATAGCTGCACTCTGGGTTTTAACAATACAGATATCCTCAATTACCATCCACAATTGGAACTGGTTACTTGGTCATTAAGTAAAGCAGTAGCTAAAGGACACCACTGCTGTGCTTATGAACTCTGGAACTGCAAAGATTCTAAATGCAATGACAGGTTGCTGAGTTATTTTTTCCATCAGTTGTTCACTGTTGCTAAATGAGGCAGTCACTAAATGATGACTACTTTTATCAGTAATTTATACTTAATCCCTTTTCTAGTAATGATTACCTTATCACAGAAATATTCATATGTTTAATAATTTAGCTGTTGTGCAACCAACCTCCACACACAAGGTGTTCAGTGAGCTGCCTACCAGTCAGAGCTCATTTTTCAATTAAAGCACTGCTGCTTCAGACCTTTTACTGATGGGGCTGCCTAGCTCCATAGAAGCATCTGCTCCCACCCACAAAACTGCACTGAAGAATTTTATGTATTTTAGAATCAAGATCACGTGAAGTATTAATGCTTTACAATGCCTTGGTAAGGCCACACTTGGAATACTGCATCCAGTTTTGGTAACCACGATGTAAAAAAAGATGTCAAGACTCTAGAAAGAGTACAGAGAAGAGCAACAAAGATGATTAGGGGACTGGAGGCTAAAACATATAAGTTGCTGGAATTGGGAATGTCTAGTTTAATGAAGAGAAGGACGAGGGGGGACATGACAGCAGTGTTCCAATATCTCAGGGGCTGCCACAAAGAAGAGGGAGTCAAGCTATTCTCCAAAGCGCCTGAAGGCAGGACAAGAAGCAACGGCTGGAAACTAACCAAAGAGAGAAGCAACCTAGAACTAAGGAGAAACTTCCTGACAGTTAGAACAATTAACCAGTGGAACAACCTGCCTCCAGAAGCAGTGAACGCGCCAACACTGGAAGTTTTTAAGAAGAGACTGGACAGCCATTTGTCCGAAATGGTATAGGGTTTCCTGCCTGAGCAGGGGGTTGGACTAGATGACCTCCAAGGTCCCTTCCAACTTTATCATTATTATTATTAAAGTTGAGAGCACCTTTCTAAGTACTTTTCAGAAAGCAATGGATATCCTTCTTCAAAACCCACCTGATTTACTGTACATAGAGATCATTCAGGGTTCCATAGCCCTCCCCTCCCTGCTTTTTTCAGAGAAAAGAAGTCCTAGAAAGGATCAATTCTCACAGATGGGCCAGCTGCAACCCTCTCAAATTAATGTTGTAACACTTGTTGTTGCTGAACTCCAATACCACAGCCACAGGTAGAAGGCCCACACTGTATAGCAGTGGTGGCAAACCTATGGCACAGGTGCCAGAGGCGGCACTCGGAGCCCTCTCTGTGGGCACACGCACTGTCTCCCCAGTCCCGCCTCCTCCCACAGCCCCCTCCTCACCAGCAGCCCCCCCAGAGGAGAGTCGCCTCTGGGCACAGCCCACACGAAGCAGCGCAACCAAGGACATGGTAGCTGGGGACAAAACTCCGCCCTTGTGCCCTATCGCATGCAGATGATGCTGCCGGGCACGGGCGAAGGGCATGGCCGCCATGGTGCTGCTGGGCTGCCTGGGTGATCTGTGGCGGGCTGTGGAAGTGGTGAGTGGCCCATTGGGCAGGGCAGAGCAGGGATGGGGGGGCAGTTTTTGGGCACTTGGTCTCTAAAAGGTTCGCCATCACTGCTGTATAGTGCGAGGGAAAATTTCCCTCAGCAAATATGAATGGTCAGAGATTCCCAATTCATCTTAAGGCAACAATAAAAAAAAGAATAAAACATATTGTTTTATTGAAATAAAAAATTCTGGACCAATGAGCAAAGTCTGAGCTTTAGCAATAACTCGGCAATAGTTAATAGAACAGGAAAGGCAACAGACATCTTTCCAGGGTTCCTACGAGTCCATTTTTCAAGACAAAAGTGAGGAGTCTGTAATTAGAGATGATTCCCAGCATCTTTATTTGCATTCCCAGGAGATTAGCTGCCTATTTTCCCCTTTTTCATCCTTAGAACCTCCACTCTTCCCCCTACAAAAAGGCTACCAAAACCCACATCCAATGGAGCCCCTCTGTCCCTCAAACCGAAAAAAAATTTCCTATCCCTCCTCAGCCTGATATCTACAGAAGGAACAAGGAAGCCCTCCCATTTGAAGCTTTCTGAAGTATCCTTCATCCAGATTTGGAAAATAAACGGTTGCTGCCTTAAATATTTACCCCAAACTAACCCAAATTCCAAAAATGTGGTATAAAACAAATACATCCAGCTTATACAAGCAAGATGAAGTCCAGTTTGGAACACCAACGCAGCATTTACTGTGCTGCTGATGACTCCTTTCCTCTTCACGTCCAATTTGATGGAAAGGACCAGAAGCTCGAAGTTGAAAATCTCAAGTAGACACATCCCTTCAGTTTGTATTTCCTTATGCTCAAGACTGTTAAGCAAGCAGATCGGCAGTCTCCAGGGTAAGGTAAGAAGAGCTTCAGCCATGCTGTAGGATAAGAGAAGCCGCATTAGTGCCTAATTTGAATTCTGAATATTTGTCGCAATTAGCTAATTAACTACAATATCAGTTAAGATATCACAGATATGCTTGTCCGGCATTCCTCAAGCTGATGTCCTCCGAATAAATTGGGACTAATATTTCCATCCTTCATGGCTGGAGTGGCTAGTGGATGAGGGAGTTATAGTCCCAACATATCTGATTTAGCAGGTTGGAGAACTGTTGATTCACACAAGCATACATAACAAACAACCTGTTACATTTCTAGTCTGGCTTTGGATAAAAATATTATCTGTCAGCAAACAATAAATACTATTGTCAACTCTACAAATGAGCATGGCTACAGCCATTTTTCTTCTCATTCTAGGTTGCCACAAAGAATGGAAGGAGGGGGGGGTTGCCCAGGTGCTTCGTTAGTCAAAATAATCTTTTGTCCTGTGGGAACCAAGGTCATCAGCTGCAGGTTGGGTGTAAGGTAAAAAGCCCGCCAAATAATCACATTGGGGAACATAGTTGCTTGCAGTTTTATGGGTGGGACTTTTAACTTTGTATTGGGGAATTGTTACGTGTATATCCAGACTTGGTTTCACTTTTGACCGTGCCAATACTTAGTAACTAATAAACATGTTCTTTGAGGAATTTGCAAGCCTCTGAGTTCTGCTTTATTTGTCTCTGTCTGTCGGAACCATGACAACTATATAATTCCTCTGCCAATCCTGTATATTGACTTCATCCCATTCCATGGGTCACCAAAACTAGCTTCAGTTCTTATCACATCCATCGGCAGGATGATTAGAGTACAGATAGTCCTTGACTTATAACCATCTTCAAAGTAACAGCACTGAAAAAAAGGACTTATGACTGGATTTCACACTTATAATTGTTGCAGCATCCCCATGGCCATGTGACCAAAATTTGGATACCTGACAAATGGCATATATTTATGACAGTTGCTCTGTTCCAGGATCATGTGATCACCATTTGTAACCTTCCCAGCCTGCTTCAGACAAAGTCAACCAGGGAAACCAGATCCACTTAATGATCTTGTGATTCACTTAACAGCTGCAATGGTTCACTTAACAACTGGCAAAACTCAGTTAACAACTGTCTTGCTTAGCCACAGAAATGTTGGGCTTCATTGTGATCATTAATTCAAGGACTACCTGTATTTGGCTGTGGATTCTGCAAGTGATTTTCCTTTTTTAGGGTAAATTTTTAATCCAAGTGAAGAGACAGACAACCCAATGAGAACATTTAGAATATAAGTAGTGTCCTGCTGGATCAAACTCTGGCCCATCTAATAGGGTGGCTGAATGATGCACAAAAAAGCCTCCCAGGAGATGGCCTTTAGAGCAGTCCCACTGCCATCAGTAGTTACTGATCCCCAGGACCACTATGAATTGGTCCCACCCTTTATTGAAGCCGGCCAAGCCAGTAGCCAGCTTCCTATCTCATGGTAAGAAATTTCAAAGTTGAATGATGTGTAAAACAAAAATCCTTTTATCTATCCTGATTCATTCAGATTCTTTCTTCTGGCTCTAGTGTTGGGGAAGGGGAAAACTGCTTCTTTTTCTTCATTTTATCCATTGTTGTTGTTAGTTGCAAAGTCGTGTCCGACCCATCGCGACCCCA